AGTGTTAAGTGGTGAGGAGAACTAGAACGTTGGCATAGCACAAAAGTGGGTTCAAATCCCAGTTCCACTCTTACAGGCTTGGTGACTTTGGGCAGGTTAGTTAAATTCTGTAAGTCCCCCTTCCTCAAAGTGGATGTCACAGAATTCCGAGAATTCAAATTACAGTGAGATAATACACACAAACTAGACGCTTGAAGTCTGCATCTCTCGCCACCCCCACACACTTGCATTGCAGCCCTCCCCCTTCCCAGGCAAAACCTGGAGCCTCAGGCTGAAATCATCCTTGGCCCTGAGCCAAGATGCTCCCTGGGCGCAGCCCAGTTCTGCACATTAGTCCTTAGGGGTTAAAAATAGCAAAGGCATCTAGCTGATCTCGGTTAATAGAATATCCAGGTTAATTTTAGCATCAAAAAGCTCAAGAGAATATAAAATCCCTGATGCCAAGAACCACATATGGCCTCTTTTTACATTGTCAAACACACACACACACTAATGTCACGGATATAAGTCCCTTAAATTCACAAAATGTTTTCCCTAATTGAGAAAACACGTGCTCTTCAGCCCTGTGAAGACACTGCTGCTAACAATCACTACTTCAGTTTCTCAGGCAGGACCACCCTCGCATCTGATCCTTACGGGACCTGGGACAGCCACACTGCTGCTGCCCACAGAGGAAATCGGGTTACGATACATTTCACACTTTTAGTGGAGCGGACCTAGAACCCTGAGGTCCTGACCGCTGCGGTCTGAGTCTTTTCACCATCTCCCCCCTCGCCAGCTGCCTGGCCAAGGGAGGCACAGACTAAGGACCCTCACCGCAGTCCCTGTTCTCTCTCAGTGCCCTGCCGGAGGCACCCCTCCTCCTGGTGAGATCATGTTAGCCACTAGGTGGAGGGAGGGCAGAGGCTGGGCAGGGCCACGTTTTGCTGAATGGGAGGAACTGTCAGTTCCGATATCCTCGTGCTGGACGGGACTGCCATTGCCCTTCTTGGCAGAGAAGCTCTCATCTTACAGAGAAGGAACAGGAGAGCTTGCCCTGAACCCTGTGAGCACAAGAGGAGCGGCCGCAGGGGATCCAAGGAGAAGGAAGGCAGAGACGGGTCAGAGGAAGGCCTGCAGCATGGAACCAGGCAGAGCTCAGCCTCACATGGGACACACATGCCAACACACCAAACAGATCCAAACTGCACCCCAGACGGATGAGGAAAACCAGGAACATGGCTTTACTCACTCTGACTCTGAAGTGCCAGGCTATGCTTTTGTCTGGCTTGACAGACACACCTTTGTCTAATGCTCTTAACTGACCACATTTATCAAGATAAGATACACTTAAAAATCAGTAGTAACTACTAAGGAAAAGGAAAATATCACTGGGAAGTGAAGCTATCTCACGCCTAAAGGAGTGTTGGGTCCCAAATAACAATGGCCAGCAGAAGTGCTTTCCCTGAGCTCTTCCCCCAATCAGCGCCTAGAAATCTTCAAGTTGTTTCCCTTCCAGGGCTGAAGCCCTGACTCATGGAAAGTCAGAGCACACTTCCTCAAAGTAGTCATCTCATAGGAAGTGCATTCAGCGTACACGACATGAGACAGCGCTGTAAAAACAGTTAATAATTGGCACCAAAGATAGACAATGTTGAAGATTTTTAAATGTCCTAAAGAACTATCCAAAATAACACTGCAAGACTTAAATGCGGAAAACAACAGGTTCAAGATGAAGACTCAAAATAGTTACAATAAAAACATCTCACTTTTATTTGGTACTTTCTTATGTATCATCTCATTTGCAAAAGGCGAAAGAAAAAAGAACGGTGAAAAGGAAAGAAGATTTTTTTTCCATTTCCCTCAAATTTAGACTCTCAATGAGACCAAGTGCTATCACACTTTCAAAACTATTTAAGAACTAAAGGCCAAAGCTCCTACACCTAAAATAAAACAAAACAAAAACCACCTCTTCATCCCCTTCAGTGTTCTGCCTTTTTTCTATGCAACAGTAGAGCTATTGCTTACTGGTATAACTTTAAGGAGAATTTTTTGTTTTGTCTTTTTTTCTGGGAGTGAGGGGGCGGGCATTAATGTAAGCCTGAACAACACTGTCTTGTAAGCTCCCACCGGATGCAGTACACAATAAGAGCCTGAATTTTGCAAATGGAAAAATGAGGCTATGAAAGGGGAGGACACTTGCCCCGGGTCATCTAGCAAGCCAAGAGCAGCCACGGGGCAGGCAGCCAGCTAGCCTGGAGACAAGGCTCAGAGATGAATGGACAGCTCGGCCAGTGTCTCTCTTTAGAAGGAGAGGCAAGTGTGCATGTGACGGTGTGTGCAGTGTCTCATGCACATCTGCCCCTCCTCCAAATCAACTACAGTGTCCTCATCCCCATGCCTTCAAGATCAGGGCATTTGGGCAAGTCAGAGCCAAGACAGGCCACAAACAGAGGACCAGGGTAAGAAATCAGCACATCACCCACCTTGGGATCATTATACTGTTCTACTAATAGGCTTTTCTTCAAGTTAACTATGCCGCAAACCAGCCCATCCACAGTTCACCTTCAGAGTCTCCAGCCCAGCCCAGCCCAGCCCAGCCCAGCCCAGCCACTAACTCAGCAGCACAGCCTCTTCCATGTATGCGCTCAGATGCAGGAAGAGGCCCTGCCAGTTCTGTGTGTAGGTCCTGGCTCCCTGCATGCCCCAGCTATAAAGACGAGACACAGATGTCACCCTCCTATAGCCCACCATTGTAGGCAAAGACCCTCTTCAGAAAGGGGAGAGAATAGGGGCTTCTCAGAGCAGGAACCATGTCCAGAGAGTTGGAAGGCTGGTGCAGGGGTGTTTCTGCCTCATTGCTATAGCTCCCAAACATGGGGGTGGGGGACTCCAAAGGCTCTAACAATACCCATTCCCCACGTGGGGTTAGAGATGGCAGATGTTCCTGTCACTGCACTAATCCTCAGCTGAGCTGGGTATTTCTCTCAGTTGTTTCAAATGGAGCACACAAGAGAAACCACATAACCAAGCAGCGTCTTCTGCCCCCTCTTCCACACCAGGTTCCTCCGTGTTAGGGTCCAGGACCCTCCCAGGGGCATGCACTTGGTAGGCCAGTGGGGCTGCTACCCTGAACATGTGAGTGTCTCCTCACCTTCCTGCTTCACGCGCTAAGTCATCTTGGAAAGAAAGCAATGCTCTCTGCTTAACAAACCACAGTTCCAGAGCCCTGCTTGAGTAGTCTGAGGCTGGCTGACTGTGCTGGGCCTGGACCACACAGTCCCCAGACCCATTACTGCCCACTGTACCCAGAACCCTGGCACATTCCCCCACAACCACACCCCCACTTCTATGTCCCTATCTTCTCCCCTTGATTAAGGAAGCACCTCAAATCCTCTGAGATCCACCATGCAACTAACCAGACCCAGGCACTGAGCTCTTGGCTGAGGGGACCCTAACAGAGGCGCTTTCCCTGCCCCCACTTCAGGTGGAGCTCAATGTTGAATCTTTCAGTGTGAGAGTGCAGCAGACTTCAACCAAGTAAACAAGAGAAATCCTCTCCAGGCTGACTCCTCAAGGCTGAAGTGCTGCCACATGCTATCTGCAGTGCTTCTGAGCCAAAAATCAACAGCGTCTCAGCAATGATCCATAAACCAAAATAAAGCAGACAGGAAACAACATGCTGATTTGGGGTAGCTGGAATTCCTCAGGCAGCATCAAATGTCATCAGCAACTGACACTTCAACAGTCACTGGGTGCCTGGCTCTGTTCCCTGTGGCCCTTTCTCACAAGGGAATACATGGAAATGTGGGGCACTCCCAGGGATAGGGAGTTCAGTAGTCATGAAGGACCCCGAGGATGACGACACTGGGTCCTCAGAAGCCTTCTCCAACAGGAACTGTCCTCTCCCCGCCCCCTGCCCCCCCAGCCACCCCCCCCCACACACACACACGCTTATGGCATTAATGTATAACAGTACTTCCAAGCTTGGATCCTGTTTGGGGGTGAGGAGGGACTTGCACATCACCCTCCCAAGATAAAACAGAACTAGAAAAAAACAAATCTCTCCAGATAAACCCAGGAAGTCCAGATATAGCCCTCCAATCCACTCCAGAATCTGCATTTCATTTCCCTTCCCCCCTTCTTGGGTCCAGTGAGAAAGGCAGAATCCTCCCGGGTGACAGGGCCTGAATGGAAGGCCCCGGTGGCCAAAAGGTTCCTCCGCCAGTTCTCAATGGAAGGTGGGGGAGGGGTGGCCCTGAGGGAGCCTGGGCCAGAATGCGCTCCACACATTCACAGGCAGACATGCACACACAAACACACATTCACCTACACAGATGTGTGCACACACAGGCAACAGTCAGCAGCCCGACCCGGGCCCCATTCCCCTAGGGGAACATGTGGAAGAGCTTACACGTTCACAGAAAAGGAAGTTTCTGGGTGCAGCAGCTGATGAGAGATGCCGAACCCTGATATCGGTGGATTTGGCACCTGAAATGCATGCTTCCACAGTCCCCACAGACGCGCACGCATTTATGCACACAGAGGCACACACTCATGCACACAACAAGCAGGCACACAGGCACACACTCCTAGAGGGGACAGAACCCGCGTCCTAAAACGCACCCCCCCCTTCCTTACAGGAGACCCCACCCCCGGCAATGCACCTCCAGGGACCTGGGACTGCTAATGGAGCAGGGGAGGCGCGGGGAGCTGAGTTCCCCGAAGCCAGCGGGCCCGGCTCGGCCCAGTCACGGTCCTCTGGAAGAGGTGGGGAGGGGGCCGCGGCTAGCAGACCGGCCGTCCTCTGGGAGGTGGACGGGGCGCAGTCAACTGACCGCCAGTCCCCGAGAGGTGGGGAGGTGGGGAGGGGGCGCGGCTCGCCGACCGCCAGTCCCCAGGAGGTGAGGAGGGGGCCTCGACTAGGAGCGCGCATCTCCAGGAGCGGGTCGGGGACCTGGGAGCGCCCGCCGCGAGACCCGCGAAGACCCTGCTGCCCCTGCCGGCTCCCGGACGCTCACCGATCTTGATCTTCACGCTTTGGAAGACCCGGAGCCCCTCTTCCTCCACCGCCATGGTGGTCGGAATTCGCGCGCCGAGCCCCGCGGAGTACACGGAGCTGGAGCGGCCGCGCAGTCCCAGCGCTCTGCGCCCTGCCCTGCGCCCGCCGGGTCCGGGGCTCCCTGGCCTCCCGGCTCCTCCCACGTGCCCGCCCATCGGTCCTGCCCAGCTCCCCATTGGCCGAAGGCTAGCTGAGGGGCGAGGACGTGATGACTCCACCTACAGCGCGACTCCAACTGCCCATTGGCCGAGTCCCGGAGAGGGGCGGGGTCTGTCAGAGGTGGGACCCTGTGTGGGGTGGCGGTGGCAAGGGGATAGGAAATGGGGGAACTGAGGAGGATGCGGGGAAGGGGGCCGCGGAGGGGCGACAGGAGGAGCTGGGGGAGAGGGGTGTAGTGGTGAGGCAGTGCAAAGGGGCCGGGTGAGGAGGGGGCGCAGGGAGGACCGGGCTGCGGTGGGGGGACCGGCAAAGTACACTACGGCCTGCTCTCACCCCTAGTCTTGTGCAGGGTCCCATTCTCACTTCTTTTACTTGTCTGTCTCAGGGTCCCCTCCTGACTTCCTCTCCACTTCCCTCCTCCCCTTTATCTTCATAGGGGCCTCCACCACACATACACCCAGCATGTATCAGAATACAAGCTTAGTGAAGCTAGGGGTCTGTTCTTTTCTCTGCCTCATTCTCACTTCCTTACAAACAGATGCTTAAGTATGTGTTTAAAGAATTAAGAACCATTCTTTACACTAACTACTTGAGCTTCCTTCCAGGTGCTCAATCATCTGCTTGCGTTTATCCTCTCAAGACCTTCATATGTGGTGATTACTGGCAGTTTAACATGAAAGCGATTTCTCCGTGATTTCTCAGTGTTGCTGCCTCTAACTCTGGGATCTCCGGAGAGTTCTGTAGTGCATGCTGTGGTGTGCTGTCCAGATTTCCCCCTTAAGACCAAGGCTTTGCCTCCTGCAGAGTAACTGAATAGCAACCCCAGTTCCTGAGCCTCTCAGAGAATTGGCTGAGGCCTCTGTAGCAACTGAATTGTGGTTAAGCTGCTTCTCAGCCCCATCCTTCTTCCCTCACATGCTCCTGGGGCTTTTTTTCTGAGAACACTCCTGATAAATTCCTGCACACAAATCTCTGCCTCAGAGTCTGTTTCCAGGGGGAACCCAGCATAATACATTTGGGGCCAGGAGTGTCTAGGAGCAGCCTCTGTGATGGGTTTTGAGAGCTGGATGCCCACTGGCACATCACTGGAGGCACAGCAGCCCTGCCATGCTATAGCAGTGGAAGGGAAGCCTGTAGAAGGAAACACAGGGCGGGTGCAGTGTTTCAGGCATTGCAGAGGTTAGGAAAAATGATTATTTGGACTGTGGAATCAGGTTGCTCTTGCTGAGGGCAAGGCAATGAAAAACATCAGCAATTTAAAAGAAAAGTGTTACAGAAAGAGGGCTTTTTTGGTATCATGAGAGACTCTCATCTCCTGCAACCAGAGAACCAAAAAAGCTGCGAATCTGAGCCAGGACTTAATCATGAAGATAGCAGCGCTCCAGAGAAGGTTGAATGCTCAACCCAAGGAAGGTTGCCGTACCAAGGTCAGGACCCTGCTTGGGAAGAAGAGCGGCCCTGATGTTTGGGGGAGGAACTTTTGGATTAATGCACTCACTAATCTTGAATCCCAGATTTCCTGACTCTTCTGGACCTGAAGAGGTGTCGCACTTCTCCCTAACAAAGGCAAGTGCTCTCTGTGCTTGAAGATGATACAGAGACTTCTGCAACGCAATACATACACCCCAATGGTCTGCCTCCAGCTCATTCCTCCACAACATCTGCATCACCCAGCTAGAAAAGTGCTAGGCCTGACAAGGGAGGAAGGTCCCATTTGCAAAGGAGTTTCAGGATCTAGGAAACCTGTGCCAGAGGGAGCTGGGAGAGTAAATGCAAAACCAGATCCACAGAAAAGTGGACTGAAGGGAGACATAACAAAGATAGATCAGGTTAGAGCTTATGGATATGGGATTACTCAGCCGTGATACAGAATTGGGCACCATGGCAAGTACCATGTGGAAGCTTTTAGAAAGTGATGTCCCTCACAAATAAAGTAGAAATGCCAGGTGGGCATGGCAGACAGCAGAGGAAGGCATCCAAATGCTCTGAGAAGTGGCACCAAAGAGTAAATAGACTCCATAAATTCAGAAACCTAAGGACTCTGTTTATAAAAGCAATGATGAATGTGCTGGGAGATCCTTGGCAGCGGCTGGCCACTGTGGGACAGGCTGAGGGTAGAGGTGCTGTTACAGGGAGCACTGGGCTCCCTGATAGCAATGAGGATGATCAGATAGGGACATAATAGAGGCCAGGTGGTGATATTTTAACGATCGGCAGCAAGGCAGGTACAATTACTATGGTGAGCAGCAAGACTGGAGTGGTAGCCTGGGCACCCTGAACCGCAAAGAGCTATAGAGATGCTCAACTGAACACAGCGTCAGGGGAGGACAGGAGCCAGCCAACAAGAATATTTATACAATCAAAGGAAATCAATGATAGATATCAGGAGGCTGAAGAAAGTTGCCCCAATAAAATGTCACAGTCTCTTGCCCAGTTTCCAGACATGAGCCAGTTCTCATCCCCAGAACCCACTGACTGGAGGAAAGGACTATAAGTATATATGGTAAGGATTTCCCTAGGGCTTCCCCCAAAGGGGCCTGAAGCCAGTTACTCAGGTGGGAAAGGGAAACACCTAGATATTTGGAGGACTGTTGGGCTTGAATCTGAGTCAACATTGGTACCCATGGACCTAAAGTGTCCTTATGCCCCCGTTAGAGTAGGACTTGTAAGGTCTAGAAAATAAATGAAGTCCTGATCCAGGAGGGGCTCTCAGTAGCATCACTGGATCCATTGACCCACCAAGTGATTATTTCCCCTGACACTTAATGTGAAATTAGTATGGACGTATGTGACGTTTGTCAGAACACCCACATTGGCTTCTTCATGTGTAGGTTCAGAGTCATCCCAGCAGGGAAGGCCAAGTGGGGTGCCAAGATGGAAAATCAAAAACAATAACACATCCTGGAAGAAAGACAGATCAAGGTTGCCATTAAAGACCTAAAAGGTTGCCCTGGCTAATTTGACTCAGCGGTTAGAGCGTCGGCCCACGGACCAAAGTCACTGGTTCAATTCCGGTCAAGGACTCGTGCTCGGTTGTGAGCATGGGCTTCTCTTTCCCTCTAAGAAGCAAGGAGACCTGCGCAGCACGCTTCCGGGATTCCTTCCTTAACCAAGCTTAACCTCCGCAGAACTGCAAGCACCATGCCTTCCCAAAGTCATGTCTGCTCAAAGGAATTCCTTTGAGCCTTCGTTTTCTAAATTAGAATCTGTTCCTTTAGAGATGTGATGATAAGAGACAGGAAAATATTGAAGGATTAAAGGAAAAGGTATTAACTTCATAGAAATTATCTATAATCTCTTTTTTTTTTTTTATCCTCACCCGAGGACATTTTTCCATTTTTTGTTCAGGTAGAGTGGGAGGGAGAGAGAGGAACAGAGAGAGAGAAACATCGATGTGAAGGGACACATCGAGTGGCTGCCACCCGCACAACCGACCAGGGCCGGGGACAAACTGCAACCGAGGTACGTGCCCTTAGCGGGAACCGAACCCGGGTCTCTCAGGACCGCAGGCCGACGCTCTAACCGCTGAGCCAAACCGGCCAGGGCTATAATCTCTTTTATTTATAACTCAGTTACATGCTTCTCTCTTTGATAGAAGCCGCTTCTGTACCCCCAAAACATATTTCTTGAGGAGTATCAGTCTCTCAACAAGTGAATATTTATTTATTGCTAAGACAACATGATCATATCATTTGTTATGAATATCAGATCAATCCACTTTGAAAAGATCTGAAGTGACATAAAATAAATGTCCAGTATATAATAGAATAAAATTTAAAGAATACAAAAAAGCATTGAAGAAACTAGTGTATGGAACAACTACAGTAAAAACAGCAACGGCAATGAATATAGAGCTTTGAGTTTCCTAGTAGTCAAGATGAAAAGGGAAAGATGGAAATATGGTCTCTCACACAGGTTATATTACCTAACAAAAGAAAGTGTATCAGTTTTTTTCAGAATAGAATATTTTGGCCAGCTAAGCAATACAAGAAATTTTTAGATAAATTTTCCATTAAAGATATTCAACAGTTTAGGGACGGATGTTTTCAATCTCAAATGACCAACCTTTGCTGATATGCTCACTACAGTGCCTGGCACATAATAAAAGCTCAACTAATATTTATTGAGAGAATGTAGTGGTTTCTCCTATTGATCATGAAAAACTTGGGAACACAATGCTAAATCTTAATTCTCTGATAAAATTTATTTAAGCACTTGGAGTCAGAGAATGTAGTTCCACCCTGGTTGGTTTGTCTCAGAGGTTAGAGCTTCGGCGGGTGGACTGAAGGGTCATAGGTTCGATTCCCAGTCAAGGGCACATACCTGGGTTGCATGTTCGGTCCCCAGCTCAGGGTCATGAGGGAGGCAGGAGGCAACCATCAATGTAACTCTCTCACATCTATGTTTTTCTCATGCTCTCTTTCTCCCCCTCCCTCCCTTCCACTCTATCTAAAAAAAAAAAAAAAAAAAAAAAATCAATGGAAAAATATCCTCAGGCGAGAATTAAGAAAACAAACAGACAAACAGACAAAAAGAATATAGTTCCTTAGTGACCTGATTGGGTATGAGAGAAAGCATTTAGAGAATCTAGAGAAATGAGTAATAACACACCTTTGAATAATAGTTCTTAAATATTAGTTGTTTGGACCACACAGAGGAAAGGAGCCAAAAAGTGAACATGTCTACACCAAGGTTCTTTTGGGATGCTCTGTATCGGTACGGCTGGTGGAAAGGAGACCCAGTGCTCCCTGGGCAAGTGAGCCCAGACTATCCACAACAGTAAGACGTTGGTAGATCTCACTAGCGCGCACCAATCGCTTCTTACAGTGTATGAGGGCCACACTGCCTACTCTCCTGGCAGATTGGGGAGGAACTGTGTGCCTAGAAATATAAAGGAAGTAACATCACATCTGATTAGAAGCTGAGAAAAG